GTTTTTCATTTTGTTAATAGGAAAAATGTAAAAGGAGAGCATAATTTATTCAGAAGAGGCAATTTATCTCAGGGTTTTTATTTCTCAGGGAAATTTCAAGGCCATCTATCATTTTTTCAGTTAAGCAAGGAATTTTGCAATATTGGGAATTATGAACCAAATTGTTGTTTTGCATATTTTGCCTTGAAGGCCAAATAATTTTAAAAATTACTATTATAGTTACTACTATAATTATTGTTACAATTAATACTCCAATTACTATTGTAATTACTATTACTGTTACTAAAAATTATTTACACCATACTTTTTGCAATTCTGCCTAAGAACTACACCTTCTTTTAGGATAGTTCTATTAAAATTAATCCTTAAACAGCGGAGTCTGGGTCAATCGAGACCCCAACTTACAAAACATATAGGACATGAACCCAAAGTTACATGTATGATTTTTAAACGAAAGAGTTTCATATATTGAAACAATAATTTTTAAAAGAACAGTGTAAAATTTAGAACATGAAAATAGTATGAAACAAAATTGAATTAAAATGAGGACTCTCTCGATGGTCTGCAGTTGAGGGTTAATCTTGTAATGAGCTATTAAAAAGCCACAGTGCCCCATTTCAAATATATACATTGGTTGAAATTTAACCAGCATTTCCCCAGCATCCAGTTAAATGTTAAAGCAATTTGTGATACAAGTACCTTAAACCCTTTTACATTTTATTCAGTTAACATACGGAAAACGTGGTTTTAATATGTAAATAAAACCGCAGTCTTTCCAAATGAATTTATAATACAGTAAATGGGAATATCTTAATTCCTTCGGTAATTGTATCACGATGAAACAACAGAATCCTAACCAGTCACGAGGAAAATCAATTCGCCGTATTACGATTTTTATCATTCTCCTTAGTCAGGTTGAGATCCCGAGAAATGCCGTCGGATCCGACATCGTATTTTTCAACGCGTCAAAAACAGCCTGGCACATTTATCCGGCGTCCAGTACGTGATGAAAAATTACAGTTACTGGAAAAATAAATAACCGGCCACCGTACCGACGGAGGCCCGCCTACAAACGTATATTTTACAGAAGCCTGTACGATAGCTACGGACGAACGAGGAGCAGCTACGGGGCCAAATAGAGCAGGGAGGAAAGGGGCAAGTCCACGAAATAATTGCAGGATGATAAACTGTGGTCAGCACGAACGCGTAGCGAACCGACAACAGTGGTAAAGATGAGAGTAGAATGCAATGGAAAAAGAGGATACAGGACAACCGGCTGGAATGATGTATGAAAGGGATGGAAAATGCTGGTGGAAAGAGGGAATAGAGGGAAAAAATGCGGGAAATACGCGTCGAATGATCATAAAGATTTTGTATTTTAGAAATTGTGATATGATAAGTGTGTCAGGTAAAATAACATTGAAAAGAAGAAAAATAAAGATAGAGGTCTTAATCCATTAACCCTTGAACAGCGGAGCTTGGGTGAATGGTGACCCAAACTTACAAAACATATGTTAACACTAGAACTACCGACGTTTGATACTGAATTTTTAAGTTGAAAAATATAATTTGTTATATGCATCCATTCTTTATTTAGACAATAGCCAACATACATTTCAACAGAAATACCTCGATAAAATTTATAAATTAAAATACGAAATTTGAAACCACTCATTTTGACCTCTTTCGTAGTTTTTGGAAGAATGATTTTTAAAGGAACAGTTTAAAATTTAGAAAATGAAAATATGTACTGTTCACCGATTACAAGAAGTTCCATGAGAATAGCGCAGGCTGATTGGCCGCGCCCCACCTCAACTCATACGTGACGTCGCGACGTGTAAAACTAGGGGGCAGTCGATCTTGCCCCTCTGCCGCCCCGCGAGACTTCTTGTCATCGGTGGACAGTAGGTGTTTAGTAGAGGTGGGGAGAGGGTTTCGTCTTCCCGGACGCCTTTGATTCGGGGCGGGGACCACTAGGTGGCGGTGACATGATCGGTGATCAGTGTTCTCGCTAGCGGTCGCCCGGCATGCACTGACAAGTCTGACAGACGAAACGCCTTTTTCTCCCCTCTCCTAAAAATAATATGAAATACAAAATTAAATTAATATTGAGATTTTTCCACGGTCCGCTGTCCGAAGGTTAATACCCAAAGTAACATATTCGCAACTATTATCACAAATTTTTTCTTATTACCTACTTATCTTCAAAAAATAACTACAATGAAAAGTATTAATCTATCATGAAAATATATTTTCGATTCCTGAGAATCAACCGGGTAATTTTAAGCTTTAAAGCTTGTATACAAACCGCAAATACGATTTGATAGCATAAAAGTATCATAAAATGACACTTATGACATACTAATCCTTTAATATACAGACCAGCAGCTCTAAGGCATTTTTATGGCACCTTTGATGGACATTAAGAAACTATGATTATATCAAATGAAAGAAAAAAGAAAATATATATATACTGATCGAATTGAGTAACTTCCTCCTTTTTCGAAGTCGGTTCAAAATCTATAAATCATCAACGAAGTACGTGGATATACATTAAGTATACTCATCTGTCATCTTTCAGTGAAATAATTATAGCTCTCGCTGTTGTAGCGCATGAGTAGTGTAAAAGATTAATTTGGAGGTTACAAATTGCATATTTGTGAATATTCAATATGCAATCATAACGTAATTTTCACGTTGAAAATTTAACGTTACCATTAAGAATTTATAATTTCTTGGTTATAAACTTTTTTTGGAATACACTGTAGACGATGGGAAGCTATGAGCAATTTGGGGGGGGGGGGGGGGGGGGGGGGGGGGGGGGGCGCAAGACTTGAGATTCAGCGTTTCACTCTACAAATAGAAATTTTACTACATATAAATTGTCATGATTACCAAAGTAATTATATCATTGAATTGCGACCTTCCCAACTATAGTCAAAATAATTACTTATTATCTTTTTTGATCAATTTTTAAAACAAAGTTTCAATAATTTCCTGCATTTCACTTTCCATTATTTATACTCAAAAGTTACTTAAATTATATTGTATATAGATAACTTTACTTATAGACAATTATTTTTCATTATATTTCTTAGAACTTTCATGAACGTTTATCAACAGAGAAGACGTAAGGGGAGAAAATGCGTAATTGATTTGTCTTCGTTAAATAGTAGTTGGACGAGATTCAAAGAAGGTCTTAAGACGACTTGTATAACTTTATAATCGATAAGTAAAGTAGAGAAGTTCACAGAAGGCGGGGATTCTTTTCTGTTTTTCAGCCGGTACGTTTAACCTTTCAATTACGTCAAGTTTACGTGATGGGAAATCTGCGAACAGAATACGGAAGTTAAAACCGGCTTGACTACTGGTTTAAATTTCCAATTGGAACTTCACGCGATAATTCGCTTCCATTACCTTGAAAAGGATGACGTGCCAACTCAGCTTGAATGGCTACTTATTTTCCACCGGTAGTTTTTTGCCGATTCCCATTCGATCGTATTTCCCATTCGAATCCATGCGAAGCACCGAATTAAAGTGTCTTAATTAATGGTTATCCTGTTTTGCCTCTTTATTGCTTCGATTCTACTAAAATTTCACACGTTGCTCATCCTCGGTGAGGCCAATACAATTCAATCGAATAATTAAAATTTGAACGGAGAGAAAATATTAAATAGCATTAAAATTGCACTAATGTTTTGAAATAATAAATTAAATATTAAATTAGAAACTTAATGCATTTATAATAATTATGTGCTATACTCAGAAGTAGGGTAATTGATTTAGACCGGGTACCCGTGAAATACCGTAGACAAAATTACTCGAGTATCTGTGAAATAGCCGGGTAGGTAAAATTACTCGGGTACCCTTGAAATACCCGGGTATATAAATTTAGCCGGGTAACCAGGTATCGCATAAATTAAAAGTCTACCAAGAAAAGTTAACATATTGATGGCTAATATCAAATATTCCCGATTATGATACATCTTTCACATCATTATTTTTTCCCTTTCTTTTATCTGTTTTTTTCAGATCTTAATTACAATCTAACAATTTTTAAATTCTAAATTATTCCTTTAGACATTACTCTTCCAATACAGGATGTCTTACTCAAATAAGATAAATTATAGCTCGAAAAATGAAGCATCGAATGAAGCACCATGCGATGCATGAAAGCGTTTCAAAGACTTCAAAATTATCCTAATTTTTTTAAATGGAATTTTACACCTTGTTATATATGAATTGAAGCATCTTTTTATTCTTTACAAAAAAGTATTGTGAAATTTGAGTTGATTAGTACAAAAGATATGTTAGAGAGAGAATAGGCTATCCCAATTTGAAAAAACATTTTTCTGAATTTCGTACGTCCGTTGATATCAATCACTGCATATTATTATTCTTCACCAAAAATTATTAAGACACTTAGTCAAAAATTGATTAATTCAAATGATATCTTGGGGAGAGACTGGAAGAGCCCAGTGATCTCTCCTTAAGATATCTTCTGAACTAATTAATTTTTGATTTAGATTACTAAGTGCCTTAGTAATTTTTTGTACAGAATACAAAAACGCTTCAATTGATATATAAGAAAATACACTGTGCCATTAAAAAAAAAAAATGAGAATGACCTTGAAATATTTGAAACATCACTTTTGGTACTGACACACATTATGTAATGTTCCATTCGACACCATTGAACTTTTCCTGACAACATTTTTGTCTACCTTCTACAGTTTTAAAGCTATAGCTTGTCCCATTTATATAGGACACCCTGTACATGAAAGTCCAATATTAAAAATTTCTATCTAATTTTGATTGAACTATTGTTTATGTACTTTGCATGTCTGGTATATAATTGACCTAAACCACTATTCAACTGTTAATTTTGTCATATTTTAACATTAGTTTCATTAAAAAGGACCATTTTTTCATTTTTATCAAATTTAAAAATTGACACTTTCATATTACACATAATTGTTCTAATAAGTGTTACAAAACCTTTGAATTACACTGTACATATTTTACACTTGAAATATCAATATAAAATGACAGTATCATTAATTTATCTGTTGCATTCTATAAAAACGTGACTACAAGTCGTTTATCGTGTCAACCTGTATTAATAGCGTGATTACGTTGAAACTATAATATTACAAGAATAAATCGAGCGAAATGATCCGTTCTGCGAAACGCAGTTGCGCGATGGAGTGGCTAACGATGCAATTTAGTCCGAGATCGATTTACACGGGTCAAGCAGCACCTGGCCATCTGACAGTAGCATTAATGTGGCGGCAGATTGCACGTCTTTCATCATGTCTGCCTGGACGTGCATGTATCAAGAGTATCTGAAGTTAATATTCCTCTTAGGGCATGGCGAACACCTATCGAGTATAAATTAATTGCTCCTCTATTAAAGGGCAATAACGCGTGTAATTTCCCTTCCGTTGCTTTCCCTTACTTACTTTATCCCAATTTCGTTGCCTACCTGTATCACGTTTCGCGATGTTGCAAAAAATATTTGCTCCTTTATAAGGTACGAAGAGGAGAAACATCTAAATTGTTACACTTAATTAATTTAACATTCATTATTCGTAAGGTAATATTAAATATTGTTATTCGATGTTTCAAATATTTATTATTAGAAGGCTTACCTTTGTTCAAGAATAATTTTGGCATGAGTTTTTTTTATAACATCTGTATCTTCCTCTATGCCTTTTCTAAAATTTTGAAATTTTCAAATGAAAATAATAAAAATATAAGAACGTGGAGTGTATCACAAATAACATACCAACTCCTATTAACTACTGATTGTGAGTGATATTTCACCCCTTCCTCCTATGTTATTGTGCTCTTTGAGGAAAGTTTGATAATGGAAAGATTAAAAAACATTTTTTAATTTTACAGAAGTGTAGTTTAAACGAGGTTAATAACGATGTCTTGTTTTGTTTTGGTAATAAAACAGTCCTAGGAGTGAAAATAGCCCCCCCCCCCCCCCTAAAAAAATTGTAACTGATCGTATTATTATGAATCTTCATTAACCCTTAAACAGCGGGGTTTGGGTCAATGGTGACCCAAACTTAAAAAACGTATACAAGGATATTATCCTAAAGTTGAATGCATCATTTTTAAACGAAAGCATTTCATATTGTAAGGGGCGAAATAAAGACACGTAAAATCAGCGTAACCTTCGACGTCCGTCAACATTCTGCTGGTTTTCAGCGTGACCCTTCGTGGACGCGTCGCTCGTTTGTCTTTTTGTTGCTACGGCGTACGTATACGGTACCGTCTATAGAAATATACATATAATAGATATATAAATATGCATGGTACAGTCTCTTACAATATATTGGAAAAATAATTTTTAAAGGAAGAGTGTAAAATTTATGAAGATAATATGAAATGCAAAATGAAATTAAGAGCACAGACTCCTTCGAGGCCTCCTCCGAATCGATGTAAGCGCCATTGGAAAGAATCGGGCAATCGTGAAAACACATAATTGAGAAATTCGACATTTGACGGCGTGACATCTAACGTCATTATGCAGAATAAGAAACGAAAGTGCGGTGGCATAGTTGCCAAATCACATCATTTGAGAGTTCTATCGCGGTGTTGCCGCATCTGTGACCATCTAGCAAAATGAATTTGCTCGAGCCGAGCGAGATTTTGATTCCTGGCGGACATAGAAAAGGACAGCGCGAGAGAGAGAGAAGGAGTATTATGAATGTAACAACGCCGATCGGCGTAAATATAGTCACACGCTACGACAGATTCGATGAGACTCTGTAATACACATAACGTACGCGACTATAAGACTTATAGGAATAAAAACTATATGGCATTAATAATTTCAGGAAAGGAATGAAAAATAAAGACATGTAAATTGATCTATAATATACAATATTTATCGATTGAAATATAATCAATAAATATAAAAAATGCCTCTTCTTTCTCCGCGCCGTCTACATCGTCGATTCCCATGACAGCCACTCCAGCCACGTGTTATTGAAATCTTTTTCATTTGAAATACAGGGTGTTTCGTTTAAAACAGGCCACCTAAATAGCCCCTTTATCTCTGAAAATACAAAAAATGTTACTGACGTAATCTAAATGGTTTCAAAAGACAAATCAGATGGAAGGATCGTTTTTTATAAATTGTAATTTTTTAATCGTTTTTTCTAGGTCACTCGGGTTTTTTACGTATGTACACACATTTGTTGTTGTTGTATGTTATAGCAAATATTATTGTGCATTAATCCATGTTTAATAGCACGACCTTGAAGTGACCGTGGACTCTAAAATTTAAACACGAGTGACCTCAAAAAAAAACGATTAAAAAATTACAATTTATAAAAAACGATTCTTCTATCTGATTTGTCTTTTGAAACCATTTAGATTACGTCAGAAACATTTTTTGTATTTTCAGAGATAGAGGAGATATTTAGGTGGCCTGTTTTAAACGAAACACCCTGTATAATAATGAATTTTAATATAATTGTACCTGCACATACAGAGTGTCCCAGTCTAAGTGTGACAGAATTATATTAAGATTCATTATTAATTTCTTTATTTCTTATTCCCTTCTTGAAATTATTATGTCAGGTAGTTTTCATTCCTATAAGTCTTATGGCCGCGTACTTACGTTATGTGTATTAATTCATTCATTCTACCCCTACCGGCACTATGAATCCGTCGTTCTTTGATATTTCCGAACATAGAAAAGGATAGCGCAAGAAGGATAAACAAAGAGAGAAAGACTCACAAGCACAACACTTAACCCAATATTATGCTATTAAATGTTGACCGATTTATATTGTGTTTAGCTTCATTTTAATCAGAAAAATCTTCTCCACATGATAGTGAAATTTTTATTAACAAAAAGTACAAAATAAAAAACTTTATTCTGTGCATTAGTATGGTCACATTGACACGGGGCATTTAAATGAAGGCAATAAATCCCGGTTTTAGTCCCTCTTTCGTCTTTAGCTACTGATTCTTTCTAATCAGTGTTTACTGACTAGGCAATCAAATTTGAAAAATGATTCTCCTATCCCATAACAGTTGCGGAGTGGACCGGCAATAATTATGTACATTTATCGAGTTTTCACTGTATATGGTGCAAGTTTTATAATTCATTTTTCTGGCATACCATTTCAAGTATTCTGTCTGTAATTTAATTGATGAAAAAAACATGATTATAAATATGAATAAAAAAGTTTGATGGTTGCACACATTAGTACATGTATTGTTTCATTCTCGAACCTCTTTCTCTCTCGAGCGCCCTATTCTTTTCTATGTCTGGCAGGAATCAAAATCGGCTCGAGCCTGTTGCAATTGTAACAGATGTGGCAACAGCGTGACAGAAGTCTTAATACCTTGCGGCAACTATGCCATACTTCTGACTATATTCGCGTAGCTGTTTGTGGTGTCAAATTAGAATTTACATTTATCGACTGATTTTTGTTTTTATCGACCCCGATGATAACGTGGTCAAATATACCATCAATGCCTCTGACGGAAAATCAGTGAACTATTCTTCCGTCTATTTGACGTCTGATGCGTGCAAATCGTAAATTTCGTTTTACGTCTTCCAGAAGTGATAAATTGTGAAAAATCGAATTTCAGTGACATTGTGCTAGTTCAAGGAAGGGTGGTCTGGTGTGCTATGGGTGAAAAAACCATTAAATCGTCCAATATTTGCTAAAATGCAGCCGAACGCAGCATTCGGCAGCCATGTTGTTTGCTTACAACAGCGTCTGTCTCAATCTTACAGTGTCAAAAATATCATTTTTCTCAACGTATGGTGTTTATTAGCGTTCAAACGGACCAGACCACCCTGTGGTGAAGTCTACCCGTGGGTGCTATACCCGCGAAAATTTCATTTGTGCAATTATCGAGACGAAAAACGAAATCTACGAAATCGAGTGTCTCTCTCACGCATGGCGTGTACGTACATGCTTTCCGTTGATTGTGTGAGTGCACGCATACAGGTTATAGCACAAGGAGTCTGTGCCCTTAAAATTGAGACTCTCTTCATAGTCCACCATCCCAGGGTTGAAACATACAAGATATGAACAAAAAATTTAAATTCAAATGTAATATTAAGTTAAATATTAATCAGGTCGTCAACTACGTTATTGTTTTATGGTTAAATACAAAATTATATTTTAACATAAAAATATCTCATTTTATCTTTTCAACATAAATATAACTTCTTTGTTCTATAAAAATGATAAAATTTTTATCTAAATTTTTATCAGCTGTTTGTAATTATTATATTTTGCTGAGTAAAATTAATTTTGTCCTTTAATAAAAGCCCATTATATTCTAGCGTGACATAATTTCTCACCTCGTATAGATGTGCTTGCATTGGCTGACAGAACAACGCTTTATCACATTGTGAATATCGATTAATGATCGTCTAAGGTGTGATTACCCGATCACGGTAAGCTAATCTGTTTTTGGTAAACGATTATAAATAGGATATTACCTCGTCGAATCGCGATCACCCTCAAACTATGAGTCAATGTTTAACTAACTTTCCGACATCATTGTCTGTGTCATAATCCCTGAATAAACTAAATCTCTAATAAAGAGCGTCGTCCAATTATCTGCTCTAAATTTTGATGAAACTTTACAAGTTTGTAGAATAATTAAAAATAGAAGTTGCATTCTTTTTTTTATTGATTGAGATTCAAAATTGAAGGGTAAGATCACCTTGTGAGATCACCTTGTTTCCAGATAACTTACTCTCGAGGGTATTTAGAAACTGTTAACCCTTTGACTATGGAAGGTGTATATGTATAAGCCATAAGCCCTCACATGATGACTAACACGTAGGTACAGAAATAGTACAGGATAGACGAAGTAATTTGATCAACTCAAATATCTCACCTGTTTTTGATGATATGAAAACATGTTAAGGGAAAGCATTATTTAGTCAGGAGGACTAAATATTCTAATAAGTAGAAAATTTTCCTTAAGATCATATTTTTCAAGATTTCAAGGTCACCGATTTCTGAAATTTTTCATGCTCAAAATCATATGAAGGTCATTGCATAGGTCTTGACTTCAATTATTACATCGTGATGATAAAAATACACATTCCTGGTTAAAAAGCCGCCGAAGACCTAGAAATTTAAAAAAATATGACCTTAAAAAGAATTTCTGCTTATCATAATATTTGCCCCTCCGAACTAAATAATATTTTCCTTTAATATATTTTCATATTATCAAAAACAAGTGAGATATTTGAGGTGATCATACTATCTTGTTCATCCTGTATACACTGTATATTTTGATCCAGTTCAGCATAGTTTCCGTTTTACTAAACCAATATAGTGTTGGTTACATTGTTGCCTTACATTTTATTTTCCAGATATTACATTCATAATTAATCAGTTTACGTCTTTTACTTTGTTAAGTATTTTAAGTGCGTTTTCAACAATAAGTACAATGGTACATTTTAATCAGTACTTATGGATTCTTTTAGGGTGTACTGAAACCAAAGAGTTAAAAATTAAAATACCATTTTAAATTGTAAAGCTATTATTTTTTTAGCAACAATAATGAAATGAAGGTGACTTTTTAGAAAACACAAATATTTAAAGAATGATGAAATTAAATTGAAGCAATATTTTTCCTTTCTGCTTTGCATAATTTAAGAAGGTAAATTAGAACAATTTTAATATGTGTGCGACGTTTATCTACTACTTTCGAGACTAATCCTGTTTATCAGTCATATATTTATTATTATTATTAGAACTACCAAATCTGTCAAAATAGGTTTTAGATTTCTTATTTAAAATCACAGAAATTGTAAAATCTATATAGATTTTTACTGAGATAAAGAATCTACTCTAAATTAAAATGTTTAACCCTTGGATAGTGGACCACGGAGAGAGTCTCAATCTTAAATTAATTATATATTT